TCGACGCGTGATCACACGCTGACTGCGTCCCTCAGCCTGAGCTGTTGCTTCCTGCCGAGCCGTCAGCCTCCGCCGCTTGCCACCATAGTTCTGCGTGGCAGTGTATGGATCCAAGTCAAACTTCCAAGGCCTGCTCGCAAACTCGCTCATCAGTAATCGAGCCAAACTGCCTTGTTCCCCCAGCGCCGTGTTCACTTGCAAGCACACTGCCTGAAAACCCAACTCTCGGTCGGCTGGGGGCAACTGTTGGAAAGCCGCTTCGCAGGCATCCATGACCATCTTCATCACGATCGTCCCATACAAACTGCTTTTCACATACTGGGAGTTGTAACCCTGGACGATCGCGAGGTCATACTCCGGCTCTGCATCGTCGCCCGAGTGCACCGCCCACTTCACGTTCACCTCCCCGGTGACGTCCCACCAACTCGAAGGGCCACTGTTCTGCTGAGCGATGCTCTGCAGAGTTGTTGGCGCGGGGTTCAATGCTATCAGTGCACCGGCCAAAGCTCGCCGGTCCTTCGCAACGGCCTGCACCACCACTGTCGCGACCTTCACAAAAAAGTCTGCCACATCCCCTGTGGCTTGCTGCACCTCCGCCAACAGCCGTGTACTCTCGTTGGCGACTGGCAACGTCACCCTCGACGCTGCCTCCCGGCTTGCTGCGTCGGGCGCGCACCACACTCCCGCCTCGCAGGGGTGCGCAGACACCCGTCTTCCTTTCTTAGCGTTTCTCTCTCGAGTCCAACTGTGTTATGCTTTTCACTGCCTCTTTGCAAGTACATGGACCTCAGAAAGAACTATGTGGACAAGCTATGGGTTAGCTCCGCTCTATCACCCTGTGTTAACTCTTACCAACCAAGTACGTCTTCTTAGTCTGTTTCCTACCGTCCGCTCTCCCCTCCGACCGGCTGCGTGGACTCCGGCTCCGACTTCTGCGTTGGCGCTGCTGCGCTGGCCGCCGACTTTCTCGCCATGGCGTCCTGTCTACCGCTATGGATGGCGACGGCAGGACGCAGACTCGGCGCTCGGTTGCAACTTATCCTAAAAATGTGACCATGTTCAAGCAGTTTCGTTTTCTACCTCCGCCGCTTCCTTTTTTATCCATGCATGTTTCTCTACTCTTTGCTTGAATGCCTAAACTGTTATGGTTACCGTGCCCGTGACTCCGCTCATGCTTTGTCTAGCTGCTGAGAGCCACCAGCTCTCAGTCGGCCAGCTGTGTTTCAACTTCGGTGCTACTATACGCTTTCCTCACTCCCTCTTGCTTGCCCACTCTCTGTCTGCTTAAACAGACCCAGTTGCTTCCGTCGGCACCTGGCCTCGCCCTCGAGGCATGCTTCCAACTTCCCGCTGCCGCCGCGAGGCTTCCATTCCTCACCTGCAGCGGCGTACACAAAAAGTTCCTCCAGTTAAACACAAACTCATTACCCCATTTAGTCTTCTTATTCCACTGCTTCCCCATCCCTTTCCGATTCTCCACGAAATGCTACTACTCATCCCCCACTATGAACTACACCAATTACACATTAATACTCGATATTTCTCATGTGTCTCCTAACCAACATCCTTACTGACAGTGTGCTCGCGCCCGGAATTTCCTTTTGATTCCCCTAACGGTTGCCTTATCCAAACTTAGCCTACCGCAACAGCTGCCATCCCCGCCTGCGATCCACTGCGTCCGACGGCTCTCCCGACCTTCGGTGTGCTCCATGCACACCCGGGCGGTCAGCCCCCGTCTTGCGAAGGATGCTGCCGGGACGCCCGAAGTCCCGGCCCCCGTCGTATACGAGGGTGGGGAAGCGATGCTCTCCCACGACCTTGTGGCAGAGACAGAGACAGAGACAGATACCGACAGATACCGAGACGGAGACAGAGACGCCCTACACATACCCACATAGGCCGGCGCCCGGCTGTCAGGCGTAAGCCTCATAAATCCAAAACTCCTAAACTCAAAGAACAATTCACGGATATATACCATCAGATACCCATACCACTGTAAAACCCACGGATGCAGGTCCAAAGACTGGTATTCCTCTGTCAGAGCACAGGTCTTCTTCGACACCCTTTGGTCCAGCCGCTTCTCTTTCGAATCCCGACTCCCCTCGAGCCACCCCAGAGCTGAAGTGGAGGTCGCCAAATCGTGTACCAGGCCATCCAAAGGGAATCCAATGGGCTAGCCTGCACTAATTGGGGATCTCCATTGGACACCCTTTGGATGGTCTAGGTATAAATCTCCTAAAAAGTATTCTTGCTCCAAAAGTTCGCGTGGTGGGAGATGGAGGATGGACTTCCAACTGATACCAATCAGGTTTGAAGAAGGATTAGAAAGGTGTCTTTCCCTGCTTTCATTTATCTTGTTCTTCCATCTCTTTTTTCCTATGTCGTGTTCTTTTCCTTTCTGGTTCGGCTCGTTCCCCGCGCGATCCAGCGGATTTCCGTGCATCGCACTTTTTTTTTATCTCGGCCGCGACGGTGCCGTCGACTAGGTGGCCGTGCGACGAATGCCAGACACGGCCTCCGTCAACTTCTGGAGACCCTCCGGTTTTAACCCAGCGGTCGCTGAGGCCATGGAACTGAAGGTATCCACGTCAAGACAGAGTTGGAGGTAGATCTTGTCCAAATCAGACACCTCGAGAGGCTTGGGCCCATTCATGAATCTAAGTGTAAATTCACACCCGGACACCGTGTCTCCTACACTGTGGCAGTGGATGACAATTCTGACATTCTTACAAAACAAACCCATGGCCTTTAGTTGCTTGTTTTCCCAAAACAAACCCGGCCATATCGGGCCGTATTGTCGCACCGGGGGACCATTGGATCCGGCAGGAGAAAAAAAGAAGGATGGGCATCCTCGACTCTTCGAACGCCATTTGACCCAGCTGCAGGTGGGGGTCATGATGGCTATCGAGGGAAAAGCAACAGTCTAGTAGAAACACTGACCAAGACGACCCTCCACGTCACCAGCATTGTGCATCATGTTCTTTTCTGGCCGCTGGCCTTTGACCAAAAGGGCGTGAGACTTGCACGAGGGGTGGTCAAAAACTGTTTGCTTCTTCATGCTTCCCCATGTCCCCTTTCAAAGAACCACAATCAAAGCTCTTTATACAAATACTCCTAGCTGCTTATCTGCGAACTGGAAGTCGTGGTGTTATCACCGATCTTCGCTCTAGGGTGGATTGTCAGTCATGTTCTCCAGCTTTGGAGGGTTGGGGTCATAGATTGTGTTCCCAAATCCACTACGATGGCTGGGAGTTGGGACCAACGCCCAAAACAAACATCATGTCCCAAGCGAAGAAGATCCGTGGCAATAGAAGCGCTTCGACCGCCATGTAATTATATACTGGAGATCCATCTTTAATCACAACGGCGCCCATCGTTGCGAACGACGCCTTCTCTCCCTCCCAAACGCCACCAACCCAGTAGGCAGCACGCTCCAAGCAGTCCACCGGCCCACGTGACTGGCCGTCCACGTTCGGATCCGTCCGACCGGTGCCCCCTCCGCCTGGTCATCGCCCTTGGCGTCGCCTCGTCCAGCGAGGCGGCGCAGGGAGGCCTCCTGCTGATGGGTCATCCTGGGCGATCGAAAAAGGAACCACCTGGTTGATGGGCAGCAAGATAAAGGTGTGTATATACATGAGTAGACCACAACAAAAAATGATCATAATGGTTGGTGCACATCATATTTGGTGCACCATTGGGCACCGCGAGTCTCCTCATGTTGAAAAGAATTGCATTTATGTCTCAGCACACCAGGACAGACATTCATGGCATTCAGGACACACGAGACTGCTCTTGTTTACTCTTATCAGAATGTCACAGAAACATTGTAGTTGCATCATTTGCTGAGGCACTCAATGGTATTGACAAGTCAAGGTAGGATTCATGGACTTCCTCATTAAGCCCACCAGTGTTGCACAAGTTTCAGGCCGAGCTTTTTCCACCCATGACTAGAGCTCATGCATCCCTCAAATCCTCCAGTTCTTAAAATGAGCTTCTGATATTCTCTGGGCTTTCAAGCAGTATTTTTGTAGATCTGTTATGATCTGTTCAATTCTATTAATCATCTCCCTGCAGCCCAAAAATGATAGGGCAGTCCTCATTGACCATCTCAAGAGCAACAATCCGGAAAAATTGTGCATGACATGGACCTGGATCTGACCAGTCTGCCGCAATCTGCCCCAAATCCCTTGGGTTTTCTATAGTCGTCCAGGCATCTCAATGAGTTGCGTCGCCTGCACCGCGAACTCTTGCGCCGCTCCGTCCTGGACGCGGTTCCCGGTGCTTCTGAAAGGGCGACCGGCATAGTAGGCAGGGGGTTCGAATAGGGAATGAATATGCTTGACCCTTTGAAGCCCATTCCCAATCTGAAAGGCCTTTGATGCAAGTCAAAGGAAGAAATCCTGCACGAGTTGAAGTAGGAACAGGGCCCACACATACTGGCCTTGGGGGACCCGATGTCTTCCTTCCGAGCAAGAACACAATGAAACATCATGAAGCCCATGTTGGCTAGCTGATCCAAGATTCAGATCCAGAACACGTAAGGCATGATTTGGTCAGAACTCGCCATACACCGGGCATTTGGTCAGGACTCTCAGCCCAAGCCCCAAAACGTTATAATTGCACATCCCATCACGGCCTGTAATGACGCAACCCAAAAATCGAAACTTCCCCGAACCAACCTGGGTACCCTCCGATAGTTTGATAGAGCTGGTTGGAAAATGATATTCCTCCATTGGCAAAATCGGAGGCCGTCTGTCAGGTTCTAAGTTGCTCTGTGGTCACGAAATCATGCACTTAATGTAGACTCTTGATCAATGAGCCTTCTGCAGTGCATTCCAAGCGTCCACCATTTCTTTGAGCCAAGCCCTGACGAAGTCTTCAGCTATCTTGGAACCCACCAAGACATCACGAAAGGCTGTCAGAGGCCTCCGGACACAGCGAAAGCTTCTGTGAAGCCAGGTGGTCTCAAAATTCAAAATCGAGAAACAAGCATGAAAAACCTACCGAGTCAGAGTCTGCTCATTTGTCCGATCTCGCTCTGGAGGTAGTTTGGGCTGGCATCCCGCTTTTGTCTCTGCTTGTTCCTTGCAACAAGTGGTCAATGTCTTTTCACCACAAAAGACCAGATCCCACCAGGTCTTTCCACCGACGTCGGGACCCACCTTAAGGAGGACTCCACATAGGGCGAGGCTTTGGTGGGCACCGGCTTGTTCAGCATCCGGTAGAAGGCTGGAATCCCGCGGATCGCCGCGAAGGGCGTCCCCATGGCCTGGGGGGAAGCCGAGAAGCGGGGTGGTGCTGGGAAGGTCTGCCATACAAACTTCCATACACCAGATGCTTTTAGCCAAAACACTCATGTTTGTACCCCAAAAACTTCGAAGACCGTGTGTTTTGAGCCACGTGCATGAGTATCTTGGACCAATTCATCCATACTCCACCATCTTTCCCAAAAGCACACCGCCACGCAGTTCATCGTAGCAACAAAACCAAGAACTTTGGTCTTCCCCCCACCCAGCAACTGTTGACAGTTGACCGAGTTTGAAATGCAGGGCCCCTACTAAAGACACTTATGATTATTCTGCCCTGGGTAGATGTATGTAAGCCACTACGCCGTGGAGTTTCCCCTGTGTAGGAAGTGTTTCTTCCTGCAGGAGGACACACAACACCTGTCAACCACGCACAGGTCTTCCGCTTCCCACGTTTCTCTTCCCCGTTGTCAACGCTGCCACGAGGCGGCCACCACTTGCTTCACCATCCCATCCTTCAACAAAAGCAGCATTGGCTCCAGACTCCGAGCTGCCTCCATCAGCAGCACCTTAGCCACCTCTCCTCGGCCGTTGGTTCAAAGACGGGACCTCCGTTGGTTCAGATGGAGAATGTACAGCTGTAAACCTGCAATAAGCGATTTCACCATGTCCTTTGCATGTTTAGAGGGGAGTCTCTATTTTGTGGGGGTCACTACACATGGCACCGTGCCTCGCTTGGAGGTTCAGTCCACAATGTCCCATGACCACCAGAAAGAATCAAGAAAGACCTCCGTGTTTCATGTCCGTTGCCGCCCGTGTGCTTGTGGAAATATGCAGTCCAGACCCGGGAATATGCTCGATTCCCATTCATCGGAGAGAAGATCATGTCCCTGGTCCAAATGCATCGAACGGTCCATTCATCGAATCCCACCCAAACCAAGGGGTCACGAATCGCAAGAGAAAACTCCATTCTAAAGAACTAAACAAAGCAAAAACCTCCATTCGAACACCTCCAGTTCTCGTGGCTTCTCTGACTCCAATGGCTCCAAGAAGAGCTGGGCTACAAGCCCTGGTGACCCCTCCACGCTGAAGCTGGCAATCACCTGGCTAGGATTCTGGCGAACAGTTCCGCACAGGCGATTAGTGACTGGCGGTTGCTATGGGTGAAAAAAAACCGCCGCCAAACCGAACATGTCGAGTCCAAATAAGTAAACTGACGCAATAGGCAAGTGGAAAGACCTCGTTAGGACTGGAGGCCGCTTTTTGTTTGTGCCACGTTCCACCCACTGTGGGGTCCTCATTGTCTAGGCTAGGAATAGGTATACTGGGTAGTATTGACCCCAAGTATCAGCAAACATGTTTCTGGCATTTTCTGGCTATATCAAGAAGGAGTCCATCTTCTTCGCACGTGGACCTGGAACATGCCTTTTGTGCGGTATTTGGATACTGCACCACCCAGGTGAATTGGCAGTTTTGGTGCAGGGGTTGGAATTGAAATCCCAAACCCAAACAATAGCACACAATACAACAGAACTCCTTGAAGGGAGAACACCAGGATTTTTCGCTGCATTGCACTTGCTACATGTACATAACCCTGATACGCATATTGGATGTACAATTTATTCTCTGGGTGTGCTTACACTTGCTACAATATGTTCCCTCTCTCTCTCTCTCTTTCTCTGAGTTGCGGGTGCACCTGGGCTCAGAACCACCACATTCATGTAAAGGGAGGGAGGTCCGTTTGAGCTGGGCAGCAGGTGCTGCCGCCGTCGGCAACTTCAGAAACAAACTGTTGCCAACCTGCTTCCAACACATGTCCATGTCTATGATGAGACAATTAGGTTGCGCACCTGCAAGACGTCCGCTGCGGCGCGTGCGAAGCGCACCGGCAAGGAGGATGCACTCCAACCTTGCTGTGCAGCATCCCAAGCACCACCAGCGCTCGTCTCCACGAAGGCCGAGATGGCTTTCCCGTACTTGGCCACCAGCTCCAGCGAGAGTCGGGCCATCTTGGGATACAAGCAGCTCAAATACCAAGCCTTCCAGACCAGATCGATGGTCCTGAGATGGATGTCAAAAGGGACTGGTCCTATTTTGCTCATAACATGTCGTCCGTTTTCAAAAACTGAAGAGCTCGTCCAAACGTCCCACGTCCCACGTCCCACCTGGCCTGATGAGCTCGCCAGAGACCGGAAGCCAGTAGACGCCACCGGGCTCGGCGGAGTCGAGCGTGAGCTTCTGGGCGGCGGTGTCCAGGCGCTGTGCCGCCTCCTTCGTGCGGAGGGAGCAGTAGACCTGCGTCGGGACGTGGTCGCCGCACGGAGGCAAGTGAGGTCTGGGAGGGACAGGGAGGGAGGTCTGGGCAGCACCAGGAAGAGGAAGTGGTTTCACCACTTCGGGCAAGAAGAGTCTCCGTGTCGTTTCTCGTCAGATTCAGAGACTCAAAGACTTGGGAATTCCCATGGCTTGGTTCGTTGCTTTCCCCCACAAGCCCTCAATCAACTAACAGCTAAGAACACCTCCTACCAGGTCCTACCAACTGACGCCAAAGTTCTTCCTTCAAGAGTAGAAAGGATTGCTGCAACCTCTCTTCCGTGGGAATTTCTTCGCGGCCAAGGCAGCATGACCTCCGTCTCGCCGGTCGACTCACCCTTCGACTCACCCCCACGGGTCCTCATGTCCCGATCCAGCCGGGACTGACGCCTGCGTCTTCCACTTTCGTTGGAAGTCGACCAACTTCCTTTGGAGCTCTCCAGCTTCGCTCACCTCCATGACTTCCTCTGCCTGGCGCAGGAAGCTGCTGAAGTGCCGGTAGTTGGCCGCGAAGGTGTCCGGGAAAGCGGGCATAAAGACGTTGGGCCACACCTGAGGGCTTCGTTGAAACGTGTACGGTGGATCCATTCGTTGAAGTGTGGCTGATGATTGATGATACTCCTGAATGGTATCTTGTTTCATGTTTTTCCACCAGGTAAATGCAAGCGGTCAAAGAAGTTATGGAGTGTGTGCGTATGTGTATATATATATAATTATATATAGAGAGAGAGAGTGTGTGTGTGTACACAGGTGAGAAAATCATGTACTGTACTACATTGATGGTTTGGCAGAAGACCTTTCAGAAGTAAAACACACCAAAAGCTTCACAACATCTGAGGATAACCAAATGAGTGGGTCTCCCTCTACCTCATGTTGAGACCACCCTCCTATGTGGAAAAACGCGAATCCGATTTGATTCCAGGCCCACCTCCTGCACTTTTTGCAGGCAGGGCAGAACCAGCGCCTCTGCCAGCAGTCTGACGCGAGGCATCTCCACATCTCCAGAGCTCCCACTACTCCAGCGGCGGGCGAACCACAGCAACGCAGAGGCCTCGGTTGGTAAATGTCAAGAAACTCGCTATTCCCGCCGAAAGCCTGGGAGCCACAAAACGATGAGATGGAAGAACCTAAGAACACCAAGATGGAAAACGATGTGTTTCTTTTTTCTGGAAATGCCACAGAAACCCTAAATGTCCTTTCTTCACCCGAAACGGGCCTCCGTGAAGAAGGTCTCCTGCACTGAATGGAAGAAAATAGCCAGATCCACCGCCCCCGCGCTGACCATCTTGGAGCCTGGTTTGAGTTGCATGCGTGTTGGGCGGTGGCAATTGCGTGGTGAACCCCAAACCTATAGGAAAGAGTCCAAAAATGCAAACATCATGCACCTCAACGACGGCTGAAGTGGATGGTTCCATCCGCCCCATTCCAAATCCACATGGCCACGCCTTCCGCCATGGCCATGGCCTTCCGCTTCTGCTCCTCCGCCACCGCATTGCATGTGGCACTGAGCTCCTCGAGCTTCGCTCGCACGAAGACCTCTCCGAAGCTCTGCTCCACCAGTGCAGCATGGCCCAGGTGGCACAGCGCACGGCTGAGTTGGCAGATCGCCAGGAACTCCTCGGGGTCGACCGGTGTCGGTGGACGGTGTCGGTGGCTTCGGTGCCCACCAGGTTGTCCCACCAGGTCGGACGATGTGGGGACAACCTGGTGGGGTGCTTCCTGAGGAAGTTCAGGGGACTCTCCACGGGTAAGCTGATCTCTGGAACCTACCCAAGAATTTCGATGGGTCCCCTATTCGGCCAAATATGTAAGAACTACTCTGCGACCAGGCCCAAGGCCCTCAGACAAACCCATTTGCCTCTGAAACTGATAGCGCCCCCCAAAAATGCGAACTACGAGTAGTTTCATTGTATTCCATTATTCCATGTTTACTTCCCTTTCTACTGTTCTTTTCAAGGTCCCACGGAAACAAGAAAAATGAAAAAACTTTTCCAGACCCGGAAAGCCTCCATAATTCCCCAAGTCAAAGGAAAAACAAACGGCCAAAAGAGCTCTTGGTGCTGACCCAATCCGGTGGTGTCGAGGGCTCTTCTTCAATCCTCCTCTCCTGCCTCTTTTGACCCGGCATCCCAGGCGCAGTGTTGGGTATTTCACCCGCAGCATCCCAGGAGCGCTTCGAGCAAAGCAGCAAAGGCCGCAGCTGCTCCACCAATTTCTGGCTGAAATCCTCTTGGAAGGACATGGCCTGGTGAATCCACGGACCGTCGCCCCAGCGTCGAGTTTCACCGTTTCGTCGTCCGTTTCCATCACCGTGGCTGGTGCTTTTGGAAGAGAACCCTGACTCTTACCAAAGCCTGGCTGGTTCTTGCATGGTGAATCCTGAATCCGGAACTTGTAGCCAGTCTTGGAGTGGGAAAGAAGGAAACCCCACCTGAGAGGATGAAGCATCTTCCTCCGATCGTCCAAAACCAAGATGCTTTCATGCTAAATGGATCTTGGAGTGGAACTTTTGAATCAAGCATTACGCCAAAAAGACTTCAAAGAATGTGCATCCATCATGATGCATCTAAAACTTCTAGAAGTATCACCTGACCGTGGAATACCTACAGTACTTAGTACTTGGAGAAGGAACGGGCGGCCTTTCCGGCCTTCGTGGCCTGAGATGAAATATTAAATAGACCGAGAAGGAATTGCTCTCGGAGAGTGGGAGGGGGATGATCTGAGAAAAAGGTGGGGTCGCCAAGTGCATTTGCATCAAAAGATGTGTTCAACACAGAACGCATCCAAAGGAGCGCACATACAGGGCGAAAGGGGGGATGATGATCTTCGCTCGGATGCTATACAATACTATACAATGATGCTACCAAAACCTGGCGAAAACAATACAGACACTGACTTGTCCCCACGGCTTCGTAGCAACATCAACATGTCGGAAAAGCTTCAGGAAGGAGGTCTATCTCCCCCCAAAAAGAACCGCTCGGCCCAATTACCGCGATGCCCACCGTTCACGGTCGGCTCTCACCTCTCACCTCTCGCCCGTTCTCGAACCGTGCCTCTTCCAGCAACGCCTGACACTCGGGCGACGCTGCATGAGCTCCCTGCAGGCTCAGACGGATCCGCCGCAGGTCCCGCGCCACCGCCTCTTGGAGGTTCCTTGGCGAAGGACGACTTAGCCAGGTTCTGCGAAAACGGTCTGGATGGAACGGGTGAATCCCACCCAACTGTGTGTGAATCTGATTGTGGGATCTTCCACAAGCCCAAAAGTGAATCTCAACCATCAGCACATGTCAAGGAACCGCGGCCTCGCCGCATCGATTCCAGTGCCCGATGAGCGGACCTTTTCTAAAAGCCTGGTCACAGGCATCGCTTCGCGGTCGGTCGGCGCGGGCGATGTCGGTCCGCTGGAGGGAGGCAGGGGCATCTGGAACAGAAACTGAGAGTGAGTCTTGATCCCCCGTCCCGGGCGTTCCGTTTGAGGTCACATTTCTGTAGCCAATGTTCAGATGCATTGTCAATATACAGTATATAGTTCTAGTTGCGATTCTGTTGTAGACATGCAGCATCTGTTTTTCCACCCGCACCAGTTGCATTGGCCTCACCTGGCATTCTCGATGTATGCCCGAAGCGCGTCCTTGCGAGCTCCGATCCGCACCAGCCCTTGGTGAGCTTCTTCTGCCTTTTGCAAAAGACTTCCAAGTTTGCTGTGCAGTCCTGACGGTGAGGGGCTCATGTTGATGGCCGGGTAGCAACCTCGATGGAAGGAGAAACTCTACAGTTATATATTATAAATACACATTTCATAACATTGCTCGACCCATGTCAGTGTGGGAGTCGCTGATGTTCAATCAGGTTTAGAATTTAGAATGTATATGATATATGTGATACAAAGATCCATCAAAACCCTACATCTTTGGGCTCCTATCATACTCACCACAAGACCGAATAGTCATCCAGGTCCAGTGTCCTAATTATGATCTTTTGCTGGCTCCAGAGGCCTTGTCTCCTCAATCAAGGTCGGCCCACCCATCACGGTCCGTATCACTCCTGCTGAATAAGAAAAAACAACAGGTCCTTTGGTCAGCTCTGCAGACTCTTCCAAGGGCGCGCGCAGCGGCTTCAGCGCCCGCTCGACCCCTTGCATCCGCGAGGACAAGCTCACGAAGTCCGCATACTTCCTTCGCTTTCGCTCGCTCGTCCGGTCCGTGGCGACGCGTGGCGGCAGAGGTGGTGGGAGGGGTCGTGGTGGGGCAGAGGCAGAGACCTGATCATGCCCCTCCTTCCTCTGGTCTTGACAAAACAATACAAAACATATGTCTACCTCTTCAGTTGCTTGAGCCTCTCGAGTTGCAAAGACCCTGTCATGCGATTGACAGACCTGTGGCAGAAAGCTTCCCGTCAAGGGTTCCGTCGCTCGAGAGCGAGGGCGACGGAGTGGCCGGATGAACAATCTTGTAGTCGATGCTGAAATCGCCAAAGCCTCAACAGTCTCACTGGTGCTTAGTTGGAGTAAGGAGCCCCCAATAAGAGATTCCTCTGGATCCATTCCCTTCCAACCATTCATCCCACAGGTGCACCCCAATGGACTGGACTAAGCGGCGGATCAGCAGGAATAACTGCCTTCGACAGACCCCCAGCCACCTTGCCATCTACATTCCCTCCCGAAAACCATCAGGGACATTGGAAAATCAAAACATCCAGAATCCTCCAGACCATTCGCCACCCCGAACCACCGGGCCGTCCACGTTCCCACATTCCAACTCCAAGGATCTCATTGATCAGTTCCACCAGCTCCTGCCGCGCCGAGGCGTGATGCGTTCGGAGGCTCTTCTGCAGCTGCGGCAGAGGCACCCGCTTGCGGTAGCGCTGCACCAGCTCCTGCGGTCGCCGTGAACCGGCCAGCTGGAAACGAGCGGCCCATGCAGTGATTTCTGTGGGCTCCGGTCAAATTGGATCAGCCCAGACCAGATTGGTCCAGAGGTTTGAGATGCGAAGATTGGTTTGACTCATTGTCCTTCATGATCGGTCTGGGCTGCGAGAGTTGGTGGAAAATGGGTTACAATCACGGGCAGCCCTACTGTTATTTTTGAAACTCGTTGGGTCAAAACACGTGAAAACGACACACCCTGGACTCTGGAGAGAGGTGAATCAAGAAGCTGAGTGTCATCCGGTGATGTTCTAAGTTGTTGCAACTGTTGATGGCTCTTTACTTTAGTGCACGACCCGACCTTCACAGAAATCCTGTAAGACCCTGAAGACTTTGCCGATTACAGTCTGTTTTGTACCACAAGTCTTGCAAAACGATTCGCAGGTACATAGCGCTGGTCAGGCGTTGCATGGCTTTGCGTCTAGCACAAGTGGATAGTCAAAAGTTTCGCAGGGTGCAAATCTCCACTGTTCTCTGCACCCCCTTCTCATGAAATGGTTGGAGATGTCCGAAGGTTATTTAAATACCTTCGAAGCTCCGCATTTCCAGGTGTCGACGCACAAGCGGGAAAAACGCCGTGCTCGATGTCGATGTCGGGAGCTGAACCCTAAACTCCGATGTGTGGAAACGGTCCGTTTCCCGGACACGGCGGGATCCGTGTCTCTTCTCTTTCAGAAGATAGCTCTCCATGTGACTACGGAGAATCGATTGTTGACTCACCTGTCCACTCTAAGCGGTGCCGAGTAAGCGTACGGGATGCCCTGAGCGAAGGAGAGCGGAGCTGAAGAGATGGGGCAGATGCTGTCGAGATGTCGGTCCTCATGGTGCTCTACGTCCTACTTGGATGACATCTTGATTATCATGGCAAGAGAGGTCATCCGGCGGGCCTTCATCCAGGTCCTTGAGGTAGCGATCAGAGAAACTGAATCCAAAGGACCATTTTTGGGGGTTGCAAATGGGTCGCGAAGGGATGTGAAAAGAAAAGACCCTCCGGTGGCGAAAAAACCACACGCGAACCGCAGATCCGCAGATCCGCAGATCCGCATGGCGGTTTGGAGGTCAGAATTGCTGGTCGACCGGTGTTTTCTTCCTGCAAAGTGCCTGGGGGTGGGGGAGGTCGAGCGCAGCGGTTTTGGAGCAAATGGTTGCGTTGCAACGGCATGGCCGGCAGGTCGAAGCGGTTGGAAGGAGACACAAACATGGGGAAACGAGTCAGAAAAAGTTAGTAAAAAGGCGATCGGAGACTGCCCAAGGTGGCCTATAGGCCTATAGGTATCCAGTTGGCCTGGGTAAACTTTTGTGTACAAATTTTACACAATATGTTCTTTATAATTACACACCATATATATATATATATGTGTGTGTCCAAGAAGGCTCAAAGGAGCAAGCTCCAGTGTGACTGCCGACCTGGAAGTGTCACTGAAACGGGCTGCACAAGGAGGTGATGAGTCTCCGCACATTGCTCCGTCAGCATGCCTTTGCGGCCGCACGCCCACATGCATTTCAGAGTAACAGAAAAGAACACAAGCCGCAAATGACAGAAAACCCAACATCTGCAGGGTGGACCTCCCAACATCTGCGTCTCGTCCTTGGCATCGAACTTGGGATTCTCAAACTCTGTGTAGTGCACTTCATCCATGGCGAGGCGCCGTCTGCGCGCCGATGAATGGTTTCTGCGCTCACCCCCCCAAATCTTCGGGTGGCTCATACGGTATGGCATGGATTCCGAGTCCTCAGAGGTTTCTTCGTGACATGTCTTTCTTGCGTCTGGTGGCTGGACCATTGGGGCGTGCAAGGATCAGATCCGAAGATCGGTAGCATGGCTTAAAAGCTTCGGATACATGTTCAAAGCTCTGATCAGGAATTTTCGTATGTCAAAGTCTGCTGCCAGCACTCTGCTGCTAGCACTTCTTCATACAGTTTCATGATGTATTCCACATCCACCCTAAAATCGAACTTGGTATGATTGCCCGCAACGTGTCAATCTGGGTCTTAAACTGCTGACAATTCGTCAATGTCACACCCCTTCAGAATGTAAACGGCTCTTCCTCCAACTTCTCTAATTAGGGCTCCTGCTCTACTTCCTTGAGCCATGAGCGGCACAGAACGATCAAGACTAGCCATCAACGCCAGAACAGAACCCAACAAACAGCTGCTGGGAAAAATATTATCGAAAATCTGAGCAGACCGATACAAAACCGAGCATTGAGCCTAAACAAGAACCCTCTGTCAGGGTTCCGCTGTTCTTCCACCAAGAACAGTCGAGTTGTTTGAATGCACGAACATTTTGCAAACTGTGCAACTGCAAAGCTTGGTACGCTGCTTGTGCCAACATGGCAAGTAAATCACCAAAACGATCTCATGAATGTCCCATGCATCTTCGTTGCAGAGTTCCACATCCTGTCGCTGAGTGACTCCAACGGCGCGTTCCACCTCTTCGGAAAAATGATACCAACAGGTGGACTCCCTGTTCCGCCTGTTCCATTCCCGCGGTGGAAGACGGGTCGCACCGGTTCTTCCTGTAAGTAGTGACTCTGAGCCGGAAAAGAAAAAACAACTGAACTGAATCACATGGGTTGCCTCCATATCAGCCCTATAGTACTACAGTAGGAGGTCGCACCTGACGGTCAGGAGAATGAGTTCACCACCTGACTCGACGGTTTTTTAAACAAAACCTGAAGAATCGATGGTTGAGCCTTCCATGGGAGGTTCGACATAGCTCTTTGGTCCGACGACAGGATTTGGTCCATCAACCCACCAACCCCTAGCTCAACGTTGAACGCGCATCCGTCGTTGAACGCACACCAGTTGGACACGGATACGCATGGTTGCACAGTTGAACCCCGCCTGTGCACTACCCAAGTCTTGCTCCATGTTCTGCACCTCGTGCGGACAAAAGGATATACTCTGCTGCTGATGCTTGGTTAAAACCTGGAACACCCCAACCACCACAATTGCATTGGTTTATATATATATACATTTCTCTGAAGGTACCCATCTCACCTGGATCAGAAGCCGACTGCCGGATGATCGCCGTCATGAAAAAGGAGCTACCCAGTCGGTTGGATCTGCTTGCAGATCTATATTCTGATACTTTCATTACTATTACAATACCGATCTTCTTCAGAATTAGCGCAACTTGGGGACGCTCAAGGTAGGGAACCCAACTTCATTTGCAAAGGAAGCCAAGCCAAGCCAGTATTTGATTCTTGTGCACAAACCCTTTCCAGCAGAGATCTTCTGATGCCACGATCCCAGCTCTATCAGTTTATGTCTTGGGATCGGGCGCTCCATCAACACCAACGTCCGGTCTAAATCCGGGGACGAGTTTCTTGGGATGGGACGGGACGCTACTAGGGCCTAGGGGATCCTGGCCTTACTAGGAAGAAGGATGGGTTGGCCCAGGTCCGGTCCCATCATCTCCTTCCTCGCAATCTTTGGCTCACCATCTGCCGAGGAGCCCCTGGGGTCCCTGGCCTTCAGGGTCCGAAGTTCCCCCCATGTCACCGCTGCCAAACGAGCGACCCGGACAGACCCCTTCAACACCATTCACCCCCGAGCGCTCACCACATCTCTGCCTGCTCCAGGAACTTCTTGTACTGCTTCCCCAGCTTGTGCAGCTGTTTATCCACCTTCTCCGCAGCCTCACCAGCTCGGTGATTGATCTCGGTGACCGGGCCAAGGACATTGAAGCGAGTCACCAGCTGCCGGTGGACTTTGTGTTCAAACACAAATGGCAGGTTGCCAGAATGAAGTTTGTGGGTGGATTTTCCAGGTGGAAAGTCTTAACCTAGTGCATGGGATTGCAATTGCTTGAGGTCCACACCAGTTTTTCAAACCGCGAAACCCTGCTCCTTTGAATCGTATGCAGCTTATATATATACAGCATGCGGACGAAGTCGTCTTCATTTTTCGGACGAAGGAAGTGCTTGTGTCGACCGGAGGATTTTGGCTTGAAGCATCTTGAAGCCATTCCAAAGTCGACAAATGGAAGGGGATCTATGCATCTTCTTTTGGGGTTGAGGATGGTTAATTAAGGGAAACGGGCTGAACTCTTTCTCGCCTTAGGGTTGCTGCAGGACTCCAACTCAAAGCTTTGGGAATGGGACAACCTCTGTGTAGTGTTGGGACGTCGGGAAATGAAGTTCAGAGTTTGCCCAGAAGCCAGGGAGGTGGTTTTGTACGAAAATGCCCGAAGCTAAGAGCGAGCTGGACGTGTCAACATCAATGCCTTGCTCCTTTCGACCCGGTCATGGCCACGCATTCGCACCCGTCGCCTGGATCTGCCGAGTCATGGCCTTGTTGTTCACCTCGCAGGCAGTGCACCGACCGCGCCCACGAAACGAGGCGATCGAACCGACATCGCTGGTGGATCTTCGTGGTGGGCCTCTTCGTGGGGATCCCCGGTTGGCCGCGCGTGGAACACGTCTTTTGTCTTGCGGGCGCGTCGCGCCGAAAATGAGGTGAACTGTCCGGGAACATGGCGGGAAAACCAACGACTGTCTGCTCATCGGAAGGGATTCCACATCCCAGGGCCGTTCTTGAGCTTTTCCTCCTCCTCGTCGAAGATCTTCTCTAAGTCGTTTTGCTTTTTCTCGTCCATTTGAGGAGCGGGAGCAGGTGCAAAGGCCTCCATGAAGGCTTGGATGACGTTCTGGTCTTCTTTCTCCAAGGCAAGCTTGGTGGTACCGCCGAAGCGAGAGTTCACCACTGTGATAAACTGTTTTAGACCCACACCCCGAGTGCTCCACATTTCATCTCCGAATGTGGCGCTGATCATCACTAACTGAGCTCCACTCCGCACTCCTTGGGCATATGCATCGCTGGACTTGTCCACAGATTTGATGTAGATGTCACCTCCTTCACGCTCCTCAAACTCAATGCCCAAGGGCATGTTCACTTCCACCACACGGCTACTATCTTCTGGTTGCCGTGCAGCTCGCGTGCCGGCCTCATCTGGGTCCTGCTCTGGCTGGTTGTTGAGGAAGGGGAAGTCGAAGACCTTGACCCTCATGGCTGTCTTCGGCACACTCCGCGGCTGAACCACATGAACGAATGCCTGAAAACTCAACGACACCAATGCACAAAGCACGATGCCGCTGAGGATGGATGCCTGGCTTCGCCGCAACTCCATGGCGTTAGTTCGATTGCCGCAGCTTTAAACTGAACTTGAGCCGTACAGAAGGAGCATAAAGTAGATCTGCATGTGTCTGGGTAAATATGTAAGCGATTGAAGTCCAAAAAATGTCCATGTGTGATCTTGAGGCGAGGTGGCCGCATACATCACCCTGTGCCCACAAGCCTGAAAGTTCTTCGAACTGAGAAGCCTCCAAACATCTACAGTGGTTTCAGAGTAGATGGCACAATCCCCAAGAGGTGGTTTGTATGGGCCCCCATCCAAAAGACATCCCAGGGGTTGTGCCATCTACTCTGAAACCACAGGAAATCAGTCAATCTCTCCTGAAGAAAACTGCCGTTTGTCACCTTCCACCCATATCCTGCGTCTGAACTCGACCAACGATCCGATAGACCCTGTGGAGCTCGAGTGCCGTGCCTGAAGCTGCAAGAGCTCCTGGTGGGATGTGGATCTGGGCTGTGGGTGGCCTCATGAGGGTTCTGATGACAGGCCTGATTGATAGGGGATTGGGCAGGTTGTACTGGGTTTGTGGGATGTTAGGGAATCTTTCTGGCGATTTGTGGATCCCCAATGACATCCGATCCCTCAATGGAGCGTGTCCCGTGAAACGGATCCTTTTGAAGGGATTCGCCAAATTCTGTTGAATGGCACTGCAATCACTCACATGGAAGTGGAAAAGCCCCTGCTCACAAAGGAAAATTGTCTTCCAAGGCTCCATTTTCCACTTCCGTGCTAGTGAATCAAAGGGTGCAAAATCCGGCTGCTTTGGGCCGTATGCTAAACGAACCAACTGAACCAAGCCAATGCTAAAACGATGGTTCAACGCTTCCGGAGTTGCTCTTGAGTAGCACAACCGGGGGCCGCATGCCATTCAATCATAGACCAAACCTATTGAAACTGCGTCTTCGAACACAAGCGCCGACCTCCCTTCCAAAATTTGCCGACCTAGTGCCTGCTCTGTGATTGAATCTTCGTTCAAATTGGCCATCCACCACGCAACAACACGCCGCACAAGAGCGTCTTGCGCGCGAATCACTCCCGCTCGATCTCGCTGCAGGTCTCGTGCTGCCAGCCGCCGGTGTCCCCATCGATGATCTGGACTTCGGGACCGGAGAACTCCCGGTAAAGCCCGGGAACGAACACGCCGAAGGCATCCCGAAAACAGGGTGGGTGTGATGAAACCAAAGGGAGGATCCGTGAATTTGTGAATCCAGTGAATCCTGTTAAACAACTCTACAAGAAAAAGAACTTGCAAGAAAAACTCTGTTGAAAACCCTTTTCTCCATGTTGCATCCACTTGCATGATAGTTCTTAAGTGCTTTACACGACAAGAGCAACAGTTTTTGTCCCATCCACACAATAGCGAATTTGGATGTCACTCATAGCCAATGAACATCGACCTTCGTTCCCATCCTGCTCCCCCAGCACGGGCCCCCATCCACGCTGACAACCCCACCTTTTGCAGGTTGGGGAAAGGGCTCTGGGCCACCTGGGGCCATTGACCCTTCACTGCCTCTGCGCTTCGAAGAGAAACAAGCCGTACAGGTGGAGGGCGTGGGAACTGGGATAATTTTAATATGTTTATGTAAATGAATGGTACACCAGCGTGAGTTAGTGAGGGAGTAGTGAGGGAGGGAGGGAACAAGGGAGTGAGGGAGCGAGGGATGGGAGGCGAGCTGGCCAAATTATGTACAAACTGCGCATGTCCATCCAAGTTTGGGCGGAAAAAGTCTGTACACACCATTGCACACCCCCCCTTCTTTCAAGTCTTGATCCAATCACATGCAGGAAATCCATGAAAATGAAAAAACGTGTTGAATAAGATTCCGCCTCTGAGCGCTCGTTGGCGGCTGCCAACTGCTTCTCCAAGTCTGAGATGATGCTTTGCAGGTCCTGCTCAGTCTCGCGTGCACGTCAGACACACAAGGTGAATCTCGCTAGGCAGTCGGGTGGATTGACGATAGATTGGGAGGGATTGTGAGGGATTGACGTGTAGGTCCAGGTACTCACTCCAGCAAAGCTCTCCAGGCCCCCCTCACCACCATCGACTTGAACACTCCAACCATCCCCAAAACAGCCTCTGTATGACTGCCATGACTGCCCAAAAAGAAAAACAAATGAGAAGGAATGGCCACTCCGTGTGCGGAGTGGAAGAAAAACAACACTCGCTCCCCCCAAACAGCACACCGAGCTCGGAGCGAGCAGTCGTCGCTCGCCTGCTCTTCGGCTTCTTGTGGGCTCAGCACGACGCTCTTCGCACAGCTGGACGCGCCCGGCGAGGCGCCCGGCGAGGACGCGCTCGGCGAGGCCGAGACGCCTCGGGGGAGCGGGGCGGGGCGGAGCGGGGGGAGCGGGGATCGGGCGGGTGGGTGGTTGCCAAGATCTGAAAGAAAGGGAATAGAAAAAAGCAATACAAACATATGACCAGGGCCTCAACGGAGTCGGAAAATGGGTTGCACTAATCCTACATCTTCCAAAACCAATGGAAAAAAATAACATGTTCTTTTCTTAGAGTTGGTGGCTTTTGGATGGTATTACAGTGGTTTGAAAAGACCCGCACTGCTTCGGATGCCGTTTTGGATCGTTGCGAATCGGGCAGTTCCGGCTGTAAAGATGTGTTGCTTGCGTGGAGGACAACCTAAGACATAATCTCATCCAACCAATCGGTGAGTCCACGTTGTCTCTTCAGCCAGTCTTCAGCCAGGGTCTCATGAATTTTTTCCACGTTGTCTCTTCATGGTTCACGTTCGGTTCGTGGATCCGGGTTCTCATCCAGCTAGGATGACTGTAGTACGACAGCTCAAGCCGTGATCCAGAGACGCGGTCGCACCTTTTTGAGGCTTTCGCCGTGGCCGGAGTTTCCCTGGACGCCCAGCCGAAGCTCGTCGAAGGACCGCCCCACGGGCAGGTCTCGCCCCACGAGCTGGGCCTGTACCCAGGTGCTCCGACCGAAAATGGCACCAATCACACCGAGATGTCACTCCAAATGTTGAGACTTGGGGACTCTCGAGGCAGTCCCAAGTAAACCACCTGGCCTGTACTGCGTGATCGGCTCTGGAAGCAAGTCTTGTCACACTTCGTTTTTGGTGGCCACAAAGGATTACAACAAGAAATGGCGGCGGGATTGCCAAAAGGCGCCTCCCCTACCTCGACAGTTTTGTGCCCTACCATCTTGAGTTTTTGTGCCCTACGCTACATTGAAGACTGACTTCCAAGAAATCTGGACCCTGTTCCTCTGTTCAGTCTGTTGCATGTCTCGCAGGGGACGCCGGGACCACCACTCTCAAACAACAAAAGGTGAACGGTGAACTCATTGACCTTTTTTTCCAAGCTGTCGGTGTCCCCTGTCTGGCGAAAGAGACCAATTCCTCTAGACCACGAAGTCCACTGGGTTGCCTGCAATGCAGGACAAATCCATGCAGTAGCGCGGCCCCGCAGCATCGGGCAAGTAGCTCCCCAGATGTGTGCCGCAAGAGGAATACACAAAGCCATCCTGGCGCAGCGTTTTGAAAACGCTGTCAGAAGCAGCCGGCGGTTGCTGTGACCACAACGCAGAAATTCAGTGCAACAATGCATATGTGTGTGTGTGGAACGTCTAGGCTGCGCCCAACTGCCAATGTCCAACTACCTCGGCTGAATCTGTAACCCAGGCTGCTTCTCTGGAATGTGTTGACCCATGCTGAACCCCAGATCAGGATTTGGCTCAAGGTGCCCCACCCATCATGGCCCAAATTACGTACTGCAGATGAGGAACTCACAATTCGACGCGTTTTTTCAATTGTCTCCAAATCCCTTTCAACGTTGAAAAGATCGAGAAAGGTTCCTGGGGTGCACAAGATCGTCCGAAAAAATCACGAGGTCACCCACTCTTTCGCTGAATCGATCATGCTCAAGACTTCAAACCTGCAGAAAGGAGGAAAGAACTGCCGGCACTCAAACCACTGATTCTAATATCAACATTCCCCAATGCCTCCTGCGGCCGCTCCCCCTCAGCCCCACGCTCGCTGCTCGGACACCCAGTTCGGCCGACGGACTTCACTCCTTGTCCACCTTCACGTGCTCTGAGAAGACCTCCTCCTGCGAAGCGACCAACCCCATGCGACGTCGAAGAACCGAAAGAACTGAGGTCTTTTCTGGTCCTACATAGACCAAATGACCTGGTCATCCTCCAAAATATTCCAAAACACCAGAGTTCACAAGAGATGATCAGAGTCTACCAGTCTTTTGTCTTAGTCCAGACTTGCCAGAACTTGCATGAAGGGTCTTGAGATCTTCTCACCTTCCAAGTCACAAGGACGAGCGGTCTCGCCGCTGTGGGCAAAAAACTCTGACTCCGGGTGAGTAAATCCTGCCGACCGGCCACGGGAAACCATGTTTTGAGATCGGTCCTTGACATGCCTTGGACATGCATGCCCTGTGTACTACATGCTGGAAAAAGATTGAAAAAAGGTCGTATACATATTAGCATGAATATTGTATACTGTGTCCCAAACGTCCGATCCCGGTGGGCTTTGTGTAATTACTGAATGGATGAATGCTTCGGATGAATTTTGAGTTCAAGATGCATCCGGTCCTTGCGAAACGATGGCCAGCCATGTTCATCCGTATCAGCCTTGAAGTCCGCCATGCTCCTGAAACGGCCGGAGCCAAGGCTTCTGGGTGTCCAGTGCGGTGTCCAGAAACCCTTCGACCGCCGATCTTGGAGGCTTCTGGGTGGGACGTGTCTGTTGAAAGTATCGGCCTCACCGCCTCGCGCATCAAAAGCAATCCCCCATCCACTTTTGAGGCCCCAAATTGCCGATTAGACCCAAACAACTAATTGTCCATGAAAGATCCGCCTTGCCTTCAATACTGCAAGAGTTGTCCCACTGCGCCACCGCCACATCGGCGACCCCTCTGATCCCAGGCCGGTGCCCTCACCCCCGTTGTGCGCCTGTTTACTGGCGCTTTGAAGAGTGGTAGCCCGCAAACAGAGTCATAGAAAGTGGTGACTCCCTCCAAGCTCTTGAAGAGCGCAATATCTGGAGCCTGCCCCGCTGCTGGGGCAGCGATGAAGGGGAGGAAGGAAGCAGAAATGCGCATACCAGTTTCTTCTGCAACATGGCCGGTCCATGCCCATTCCATGTGGACATCATACAGTCGGAGTATAAAAGGAGTTCTACAATATTGTGGTCATCAAAATGGTGAGACCCCAGAATTGGTCCCTTTGTTGGAGTTCTACAGAGTCTATAGACTAACACCGGCTCGGAACTTCCCTAACCGTAAGCCATGTCTGGCTTGTCACACACTGGATGCTTCGACTTCAGGATCCTCAGCCGCACGCACGGAACAGCCTCAGAACCTTTGATCATCTTTGATTGAAACTCCCTTATGACTCTTGTGGGGGCCTCCAACTAGACTGAAAAACACTGCATTTAATTCGATGGCTGCCAGCTGCTGCTGCCACTGCTACATGGCGACCAGCAACAGGCTCTCACGGCCTGGTACAGGAATTGCGGCTCGGCATAGACCTCCCAAAGGCCATTTGAATCTCCACCAAAGGGTCCGGTACTCTGCAAGACTGTGATTAGACCTTTGACCTGGCTGTGCCTGAATGACAATATCAAGTTTGGTCTTTGAATAGAGTTTCGGCTGCCCTTTTTTAAGCCCCATATGAACACGTGGCGCTGCAGGTTCATCAGCTCAACACCCAAGACTGGGATTCCTCTGTCAGGTGCTAAAACTATATATATACGTATATATATATATGTGTGAGAAATGGCACTCCACTTACAAACGCGGCACAGGCAATTAAGAGATGGTGTGCCAATGACTCTTCCAAACCGACAGTGACACGTCATGCCAAGACCAAATCTATCAGTTGGGAGGTGTTCAAAAGTAACCTGTCTGACTCAGATGTCGCTGTCACAAAGGTTTTGGCATGTCGCTGACCAACTGACCCACCAGACTGACCCACGGAGCACTGGTCACCCCACGCACCCGGGGTGCACCCGGGGTGCACCCGGGGTGCGTGCATCGCTGTCCCCAGCATCGTGCCTTGGTGCGGGTGTCGCAGCACACCGCCTCCGCCAGGCTCTCGGAGGGGTCCACAGGCACTGGCACGGTGGGCTCCTAGCGGTGGACACCGAAGGGAGAAGAGGTCGCCCAGGTTGCCTGGTCCTGGGAACTACATGTGTTACATGGCGGCTACTAAGTACTGTATATAGTGTATATCTGTATTCCGTTCATCCCCAGCCTATTCTATCCTTTGCTAATGAACGCCCACATCTCAAGTTTCCGCAACGGGGTCCACTCGTTTGAGACTGAGTTCGCAAAACGTGGTGGTGGCTCGATCGATCTTGAGATCACAACAAGTACAATCGGTGGTATCTTAGGAAATTGGAGCAAGTTGTCTTGAGGCGATTTGGTGAAAAAACAAAAACAAAAAATGGAACACACTGGATCTTGATCTACTTTAATCACATAGGACAACTTGTCATGTGCACAAAGCTCCAGGTCCAGCGGTTGGCCACGGCACAAATGATATGTATGTATATATATACATATACATACAATGTTTAGAACCGAACGGAACGAGAACAGAAGCCAAAGAACCTTGGATTCAAATCTTGATCAGCATTGACACCAGCAGCAGCGCTCAAAACACTTTGTGTATGATCCACAGCAACCATCAGACCTGCCCGCATCACTGGTCCTCTTTCGTACAAGTCCTTCACAACCAGTCCGTCGTCTTTGTCAGAACCACTTCATAACTCCTTCACCTGGTGTGTTTTCGTCAGCTCTTGAGCAGTTAACCCAGTTCTCATCACAGCCATCTTCCCAGTTCTTCCACGTTCGCTCCTTCCGGCTGGAGACGTTGTAGCGAAGCTTCCTCTGCACCGGTTTGCCGCATCCATCATACTGAGAGGGCACACCACCCAGCGCCAGCTGATCTGGACGGGCCACGATGGACTTCACCTCGCGGTGGAGGAGATTCTCTGTATATAGACCTGTCATAGACAGATAGTTCGTAGATCCCCACCAAAAATGTATTGGAAACCGTGCCACTATCTATTTGGGGATTACTATAAAGTGGAACCCACCCCAGATCTAAGCTTGGTACCTGGACTCAAACGTCTGGTCTCGTGTCTGAATTGTGGAAGCTAAAGCTAAGGCCCACAAAAACGGATGATTCAGTGGACAAAAGCACGCATCGCCGGATCGCCTTCATTTGCCCACTTCGACCCTTCCATGGTGACTTGTCTCCTAAAAATATGGATCTGAAGCCTCGTTCCCATGTTGAACAGCCCCATGGTGGTGACCCGAGTTCACTCTCTTGATGACCTCATCTCAGATGCCATCGAAGCCCTGCCTCTAGGTGCACTTTCCCCAGCGCCCCCTCGGCCCAAAGCTCCACACGCCGGATCTTGGACAAGGTCGATGCGCTCACGCAAACGCTCGGGTCCTGCACTTCATGCTAAAACGACCTTCCCAAGCTCCACGAAACGGAAACTATAAAGACCAACACAAGCTCACGCACACATTGCGACATCATGCAACATCTATGATGTATCAATCTGCTCCTAACTAGTTTTACTTTGGTTTACATGTGTTTTACATTGTTTTGATTTTACCATGTTTGCTTCATGTCACCAACACCTCTGCGGCCAACGGACCCCGTGCGCTCACCGGCTCATGTTTCCTCTGCGCAGGTGGAGGTCTGCTCACCGGTGGCCGGGCTCCATTTGTCGCTAAAGGCGCTCCAGGGAAGGAGCACCTCCACCGGAACAAGGATCGAGTCCGTGAACTCACCAGTGGGTCAGTGACTCCCGGCAGAGACACCCAGTGAAATGCTAGCTGGGATGGCGGGTGGGGATTTGGAAGGCATTGAGAATTCAGAAGGCACCGATGCTTTTGCAACAGGTTCTCTTGACATCTTTTCCCGTCCAGTTCGAGCGACGCATCGCGCAGCAACGCCCATTCCTCGGCTCACCTCAGCAAAGCTGCTATTGCCCGCGGAAGGCACCTCTCACTCATCTCCACAGCCATAAGAGGGGCGGGCAAAGCTTCTTCTGGCAAGTGGGTAGAGAACTTCTTGTAGCTCTTTGACTCCCTGTCAAGGTCAAGAACTCCTTCAACGTACGCGATCCCCTCTAAATGCCCACAAGACTTTGCAGGCTCGGCTTTCGACTTGGGCCTCGTCTCCCGGCCTACCCCAGCCATAGCCATAGCCTACCCCATCTGCCACCCCCGAAGATGCCACACCTGGAACTTCGCCTTGAAGCAGCCACGGCTTAGGGGGATGGAGCCGCCCCCGGCGCAAGCGTAGCTAGGCGACGACGTGCCACTGGCGAAGGAGACCCGGAAGCCCTGGAGCGGGCGACCACGTGTGCGCGGCGGCCGCGGCCAGGGATCCGGGGAGTTTCCTGTGTGTAATCACAGAGTTCAAATGTGTGGCGGATGTGTAGTTCCGAACCAAAGACTGCTCCCACATCACTTGAGCTGGATCATTCAGCCAACTCATAAGCATCTGTTTTCAAGACAAAAGACTGCACCAACGGTCCTTTTCGGTGGAGATCAGGGAGGCAAAGCTGAGATTGGCTTCCCGAAATGAGCTAAATTCCCTCAAGTATCTCAAGTCCTAAGCGGCTAAGCGGAACATTGCTGACTAATCGCAAGTGATTCTAGACCCACTTGCCCATCATCTGGCCGCACACTGCCCCCAACCAATGGCACCCATGCAAACCGCTTTTCACCTATCCTCTCGACATGCCATTGCGGCCCCCCCAGCTTTGTGGGGCCGCGCTGAACTCGTCTCAGGAATCAAAGCAAAGGTTGAAAGCTACAAGTTGGAACACATGAGGGCAACAACCAAAAAACGTTCGACCCAAAAAATGCTGCTGGTTGCGGAAGGAGAGTGTTCTCTTCCCTCCAAGCCAGAGACCATCTTCATCTCTCTTTCCAAGGTGTCTTGATTTGAACTCCTTTGGTCTGCTTCAAACCTCTGCAGGTCACTGCAGTCGCAGCTGGGGAAAAAACACAGCTGAGCTGTTCGGGCAGCGAAGCTCAGTCTCACCAGCGGGAAGCCACGGGGTCACAGTTCTTTGGATTCAATGAGTGGTTGGACAACAAAGCAGCAGGTGTCCACGGTTTGGTTGGAAGCTTCTGGTTTTTTCTGGCAGTCAACAGCCCAATAAACGTACATATACACATGTCACATGTCTTTGTCCTTCTCGGTTGATGTTTGATATTAAATATGTCATGCCTCTTTGACCTCAGGAATGATTGTGGGACGCCAGCAGTGGGAGACTGGGAGCAGAATGTACAACTGCTGTTGGTGGGCAAGTTGCTTTCCTCATTGGATGGTTATCCCAAGCCACGGCAATTCAACACCAAAAGCAGAAGTTCTCTACTTATGTCATCCTATCTCCACCTTGTCCGCCAACAGCTTCCTTTTTACCACAGGTCGCAGTTGTCAAAACAGTCCTATGGCATCTTCCATCAGCTTTGCTGCCGGGCTCTGCCGGCGGATTCTGGGGTCGCCATCCATAAGCATTTACACCGGATTCCTCAATTTGTGATAGAAACAGAATCCAATGCATTTCCCCATTGAGATGAGTCACACAAATTCCTAAACCTTCTCGCATCTGGACGGCCTCCCAGTGATCCAATGGTCACGTGAGTTGGTCCTGAAGCCTTCAAACAGGTTGGGTCGATACGGGAAAGACCTATAAGAGGAATGAGTCCAAACCAGGCACTGCTCACTTCCTCACGCCCTGAAAATTCACTGGCAGCACTCGCAAACTCCCACCCAAAACGTACTTACCCCCTTCCTTTCTCCCCCCCCAAAAAAAAGGAAACGACGAAACTCACGCCATTCACGTGAACTCCCGGATCTTCTGAAGCACCGCCTCAGGCAGTTCGGGTCTCTGCCGTCGCAACGCCTCCAAGACGCGCTGGACCCAGAGCGCCATGCCGTCCTCTTCCAGGCCTCGCGAGCGGGGCCCTCGACCGGATCGGATCGGTTGAATGTTTGGACTCTTTCGTCTTACGGATTCTTCCAGAGACCAAAAACTACAGTAATTGACCTCAGAGGATCTCAGAGGGGGGTCCTTCACAGAGAGAGAGAGAGAGAGAGAAAAATAAAATAAAATATAATGCTGGGGCACCCTTCAAAAGAAGATCCCCATAGAATCCCTAGATTTGGTGACGGTCATTTCGTTGCATGACTTTGAGTAAATTGCAGTCTTCCACAGGGGGAAAGGATTGGTGGTCTTTTCTGGCCCGGCCGGCGGCCCTTGCACCCTTCAGTCCTTCAGTCGGTGAGATTTCCCGAGCTGAGGTGCGATGAAAAATACGCCTGCAAACCTAAATTGAACTCCCAAGTTCACCATACCATTGTGGCGCTTGGTCTTATACCAAGTCATATCAGTCATAGCGTATATACCTGAACCCCCGACAACACGACCAAAGCACAGCTTCTGGGTTCTTTCAGCCCTTCCTTCAACCCCAGACACGTTTGAGCAGCCGCGATTGAAGGGAATGGCTCCCCAGCACTGCCCCACGGGCCAATAGGGCTTTCAGCGCAGGCTTGCATCGTTGGACCCAACCGCCTCGTCCGAAACGTAACGGCGGATGCCAAGAAAGGTAACGGCAGGTTTCTAAGCTGAACTTTGTTAATGTAAGCTGCGCCCTGTGAGGCAAAACAATGAAAACCTACTTCCATTGACTTTAAATTGTCATCATGACATCGATATACATATATATATATATACTGTATCTATATATATATATATATTGACACCTTTATGTAAAATTTATAGTGCTATGTCCTTTGCTTTTTTGCAATTGTTTGTTGGCTGAGATTGTAATTATACTGTAAGACATACACTTCGAACATATTGTAGAAAACCGTGTTTCTTCTTCTTTCCACAGGTGGGAAAATCTAAGTGTATAGGTCGCGATGTCATAGAGACCGGGGTGCTACTCGGAATCCCCGTGCGTTGGAAACCTTGCTTTCCTAGTTTGCCGTGATGTCAGCAGGGCAGTGTACTGGTGTCCCACCGTCCCGGCTCTACCTGTCTAATACGAATCCCTAGCCAGCTACCATGAAGCCGCTGATGTCTGTAAATGCCGGTTGTACCTGGCTATTTTTGACCAAATCTTCAAAAACCCAAGGGTACTTTTAACTTTTCAAGAACGCCTCAAAATTTTGCGTGTCCCAAAATCCCAAAACCTTCATCAAATGCCGTTATTTACGACGTTCTTTGCATTCGATGTTCAACAACCTTTAAAAAACCCGGGTTTCTTGCCCGAAAAATGGCCTGCGATTAACTATGCCATCCGGGTACACACGCCCCAGCACCTTCGGTGCGGGCGGATTTTGATGATTATGCACATTGGGATGATTTTGGAAAGCATGTTCGCATCTAAGCTATTAAAAACTTGTATTATATAGGTGGTGCTTCCAGAAGAGATGAACTTAGGTAGCAATTGCTACTGGCCTCATAGGAAGCAGCACAATGTGCATTAGCGTGCATTAGTGCCTATTAGCGTGCTCATGGACCCCTTCCTGACGCGACCACTCTTTTGGCTGGAAAAGCTGGTTGTACCTGTCTGTGGGCCGGTGGGGAAAATGGCCACTAGATGTCATCTGCATCTCCCAACAGATCGAGAGCTTTTTGACGCTTTGCGTCAAGCTCACTGCCTTCAGGCTGCTCAGCAGCTGGCTCCGGATCAACTTTGGTGAGAAAGCGGCCTTCATACTTTCGCTTTTCACCTTTCTTCTCGCCCTCTTCCAAGAGCACTTTGAAGTTGTCATTGGCGAGCACATTGACAACCGTGGCCAACTTGTCATTGTAGAAATCCTTTTGCTTCGTGGCCTTTGTGCGGACCTCTCCAGGAGATTGGGAAAATCTTTCGAAAGAGAACGTGATCTTTTTAGGCAATAACTGGACTCAACAAGTTTGGAAACGAAACCTCTGCGTGTTTCGGTTGTTCCCAGAAAGGGCCTTATCCCCAATCACTATGGCCACCGTCGGAGAAGGAGAGTGAACTCCTGTCGGCAGCTTGGTCGGAGCTGCAGGGGCTGTCTCCTTATCCTCTTTCTTTGCCAAGGCGTCTTTTGCACTGGGCGGCGTGGAGTTGTCAGACGCCGGCTTGTACTTCGACAAGAACTGCAAGGAAGGGATCTCTCGGTCCAAGTCCTGCGCCCAACCGATTCAACGTGGCCCTATATCACCCGTGATTAGGACAGTGTGACTGATGCCAAAAGAGAACCTTTAAACTTGTCCAGCTATTTCGAAACAAAAACTTCCCTAGAGCCACCTTCGGTGGGATAGAGGCGGCCAACTTCTGCAGGGAATCCGAATGCTCTTCTTTGAAATCATCATAAGAGATCTCGGTGTAACCTGTGATGTCCACGCCTAGTTTCAATGAACTCAAATCGACAAAGATACGCTTGGCAAGGGCCGAAAGAAGGGGCTCACTGGCGCCGATCACCATCAGCTTCTCATACTGATGCAACAACGACTTGGCAACGCTGTTCGAGACATGCTTCAAGGCTTCTGGGTCACGGCGTACCAAGGCAGCACCATGCAAAAGCTGGTTCACTGGAATTTCTTTCCAGACCGTGTTCTTGTCCATAAACATCCGGAGGGCCAGGAGCACCCATGCGCCGAGCTGCTTCGGCGGAGAAGCCAGCACCTTGGCCGAGCTTGGGCACTTGTTTGGTGGGAGATAAACCACTAAATTATACAAGCATAGACCCCATCCCAAGAGCAAACTGCTTCATCAATGATTCTTGTCGACATTGACATCGTTATTTCGGCGACACTCCGGATGAGAAAACCGGGCCACAGAGACCAGCCACAGAGTTCAGGGGTGCGGCCAAGACAAGGACAAGACCCAGACACAGAGCCGGGCCACAGAGCCCATCCATAGAGTTCAGGGGCGCGGCCAGTGAGTGTGGCCAGCTCTTTGTTTTCTAAGATAGAACCCGAACAGTAAACAGTTTGGGGAAAAAAGAACAATAGAAAGAAATAGTACGCAGTGATTGCTAGCAGGCACGTTCTCCGGGAACCATCTCTGCAAAGATTCTAGGCGGTTGGAATCTTGCAGCATGTAAAGAACTTTCTGTGACATGGGCACGCTGCCAAAAGCAGCTTGGGCGATCTGCAGCTCATCTTTCTCGCCCTTCTCCAAATGCTCATTGTCAAGCAAGGCCTTGACAGCGAGCAAACGCTTCTCATCAGGACTGGAAAAATCTCCGCGAGCAACTGTCAACTCTTCTTTGGCCAAAGAAGTCTGGAAACTCAAGAAGAAATTGCTCTTCCGAAGCCGGGCCCACGAGGCCAGATCTAAGAAGCGCAGTCTCTGCTCCAACTCACCCTTGTCCGGCAAGGAAAGATGACTCAGAACTGCAATTGCCTGAGGGAACTGGCCACGACATGGGCCATTTGTGGGGCTGTAAACGTATTTATGCAACCTTGAGTTTGGTCCTTATGCTGGAACCCCCATGTGCCTTGGCCAAGCCTGGCAGAAACCCGTGAACAGCCTCTAGGTCTTGGAACAAATCTGCAAACTGCCTCTTATGCTCATACGCGGCTCCATCGTCGAGCAAAGATTTGGCGACACTCTTGACCACTTTCACGTTAACCGCGTCTATGTTCTGAACGAACCTAGGGGGATGAACACAAGTTTTTAACGAATCTGCTGCGCGGTTGCATTCTTCGGTCACTATGGACACTCGACAAAAAATTCGTTTCACAAAGGCCACAGACTTAGAAAAAAACTAGTCTAGGCACAACTCCGGCTCTCCCTTGTAGGCTCGGTGCTTCTCCAAAACGTGCTCTTTGAAACGTCCAAACCAAACAGCCGCTTCGCTGTATCCTGGGATAAGTAAATGTGATACGGAAGCAAACGAGTGCTCATATGTAAAAACCGTGTATGATATACAAATATACTCTCTATATATATATATATATAGTATATATTGTATATGTAGTATATAACATATGTAGACACACACACACACACACACGCGCGCGCATCTCAGCGCCCTCTCTCGACTGAGTTTCCGCCACGAGTGCCCTTCCGGCCTCAGAGGCATGCGAGCAAAAGCTTTTATACATACATTGTACATCTACCCATATATACACACTATATACAACACTGATGTACACTTTAAAACTATACATATATATATACATATATACAACACCAATCTACACTAAAACGCTACACAGGAGGAAGCGGCCGCATCGGGTCCCCACACCATTGCTTCCAGCCTCAGAGCCGAAGCGGTGTGAGGCAAAATCCATCGTTATATGTGTATATTTATATATCTATTGGCCAAAAAAAATATATGTGTGAGGCAAAAAAATTATATATATTTATATATATATTGGAGCCATCCCTGAAGGTTCGGCGCTCAGCCCTCTGGGAACCGGGCCGCCGCCACGTGCAGCCTTAGCCGCATGGGGCGGATGGTCTCAGTTTAGGATCAGAAAGACAAATATATATAGAGAGAGAGGGACACACACACTATAATATACAAAAAGTATATATATATAAATATATATTTATATATGTTATGTATTGTATATATACATATAGATACGGTGAGACAGCTACTTTGCATTAGAGAAAAAATTCCTTCCATCTTTGAGCGAGACATGCTTGTCCTGCAAGCATTGGCCAATCTCAATGGCCATCTGCCAAGCCACTTTGGTTTCATCCGTTTCGTCACTGGAATGTCGCTGCAGCTGCCTTTCCGAAGCTCCTGCGCTCTGGGCAGAAGCAGTCACAGCCTGCGGGACAGGTGCAGCGCTCGCTTCTACAGGGGTGGATTCGGGCAGATCCAGTTCCAACATGGCCTGTTCCAAGGCCGAATGCTCCAAGCCTTTTCCATCAATGGACCTCTCACTGCTGAGCGCACACTCGAGCACAAGTGTTCCAACTGGCAGGTCGGAACGAGACACGGCTTGGTCAAAAAAGTGGAAGTCATCAACCTTTGTTCCGGGTGGAACATCCTGCAAGCTTCCGGGCGCAATGAGCTTTCCACTGAACTTCTCGTGGATTCGCTTCATCATGTGCTTTGGAACAGCCCAAAGGAGCTGCTTGAGGGCAGACGATGTCTTCACCGTTGTTCCACAGGATTGGAACAACTTCATGGACACCCTGGCTTTCTCATTCTTTCCGCTCAGCAAATGGTTCAAAGCTATCCATAGTTGGACCGACTGCTCGTTCAGCTGAATGGTTGGGTCTTTCTTGCTCCACTCGAGCAAACTTCTCTCAGCCTTCTTCCGAAGGTCCCTGTTGTCCTGCCCCGAGACCTCCGCCAAGGCCTGCACCACTTCCGCTGGAGCAGGTGCAGCTGTCATGGTTGGTCAGCCGCTTTGCTACAAGGAGCCGAGAGAAAAACTGCACGTTCCACAATCATGCACGCTGATGTGCGCTAATGAACCGTCTTTTTCACTAAACAACACTAATTCCCCCTACTGAGAGCACTAGCTAATTATTCATATTCATTAGCGTCCAATAGTGTACATGAACGTCCGTTAGTGCGCATTAGCGTTAGTTAGTGTTCATTAGCGTCCAATAGTGTACATTA